ATATATATAGTACTGGAAATATAGTACTGGAAAGTGACTAAATGTACATAAAACAGTATCTAAATGTTCTTTTTACATAGCCTTCTAAATCATACAAGCCAAACCCCATAGGCCATATACCGGAATAATTGGATTTGTTGGTTCCGGTATTTCATATAACAATTTTGGCGGGCTTTTCGTATAGCGTATAATTCTTCATAAAATCATACTACAGAACATTTTTTTATTCCTGTTTACTTGTTTTAAAGCTGTATGTATGCTGACTTTGAGGTGGTTAAATAGTGATCATGGTAGCTTGTGTTGTTGCTATATACAACTATGTAGATGGAGACCTATGGGGAGAACAACGCATCAGCTTTTTCCTAGTGCCAAAGCCCAAGGAATGCCCGAAAATTATCACAAGAAAAAGGGGATCGATGGCGAAATGGAAGGTTGATCTCAACGATCAACAACGCATGAAGTACATTGAGGTATGTTCCAGAAAGTTTGTCGCCGCTAATGGCTTAACTGCTAGCAAAGTTGAGGAGCTTTACTGGAATGGGGACATTCGCATTTGTAGCGTTCATTTCCACGTATCTGTATTGGCGACTCTTAGCGACGGATCAATCAAACCTGTCATCGGAGCATGTCGAACGTTTTATCTAAACATCTTAGCCCCAATAGTTCACCTTTATATGAACAGCAGTCAAAGACGCGTTTTCTGATAAACCATGAGTAGCTCTATCAGTTGGTCCCTGATCTGCCCGCACCAGAATCCGGCAGGAAGCTGATGATCGTTAAAAATAAGACTACAAGAGTTTTGAAACGTGCAGCGATAGTCGATGATCTGCACAAGACGAGTAAAAGGTTAGATTACCAAAACAACCTAATTAGTGACTTCGCACTGCTAGCGAGTCATGTGCCAAGGCTGCACAAACAGTGAACTGTCGAGTTCAGTCCAAACTGTATTACTTTGTCTCGCGCTCTCGATGTTGAAAAAGGGATATATCTGTAACACAACAAGTACGCTTAACCCCTGACGCGATACCAGGAGGGGTTAATATTTATATGTACACTCCAGCCCACGCATCCTCAAAGCCAACCACATCACCACAGGATACAAACCAGTTTGTGGAAACAATAACTTACGTTGAAACCAAACTTGAGCCATTTACTACCTATCAAGATTTAGCAAAAAGAATTCAGCATGTCGAGAATACTACCAGTGGACAAGTAGAATATAGCACGCCGACTCAAACGGCTCTGGCGGTGGTGTGTATTATACTTAGACAAAGGGCAAATTATCTATCTGGATCGCAAAGTAAATTTCGAGCTTTGTTCCACCTTTATATGGCTGAACAGATAGAAGCATTAGAATCGAGTAGATTTTCTAGACGCTATCCTGCTAGTTCTTTTTATTAGCAAGCTCTCAATTGATACACAGTAAGGCTCCCAGGTTGTATTCGAGACTTAGAGAGAATACCGGATAAGCGCACCTTGCTTTCCACGGAGCACAGTAATACTTTGCTAGCAGACTGTATACTGACAGGCCTTGGCTCTGCTCCCTGCGCCATGGAACATCTTCAGTCACACTCTTAAGCGGTGCGAACTCATAGCACTTGATCTGATTGATGACATGCGCTTACCAGGAATTCCTCGTTGAAGATGAATAATTGCAATCATCTATCCCCAGCACGACGCTCCGGTATTGGCCGTTATGTCAAAAATAATTGTGCACCGCCATGCAGGTAAGTCTGAATTGCTGGGAGAAGTCGATATCAAGAAGTGTGATTCGCAACACGTTCGCAAGTCTGTCATTGCACTTCATCTGGACTTAGTATAAAACTTTGCCACAGTTTTACAAACAAGACTTGTTACTACGGACCGGCGCATAATGATTTTTCGACACTGGCAAATCATATTCAAACCTTTCTACTCACATCAAATCAGAGGCAAAAAGTTGTCAGTGAACCTTATGAGGCATGTGGCTAAGATGACTGGAGTTCAACTGAGCAATTATCTTAACGAGACACTAAAAAAGTATAGTGACACAGTATTGGTACCTGTGCCAGTTATCTTCAACGGTTGCGCTGTCAATAGGAAAGCCCTTCGTTCGCTCGTATGCCCTGATGATAGCACAGAACCACCTGAACACTGGCACTACCTCAGCAACGGTTGCCTGTTTTAGATACTAGAATGGACAACGCATATTCGCCCTCTTTTGTCTAATACATATAGTTAAATGCATCCGGAACGACTTTTTCAGAAAGGATCACGTATTATTATCCGGATTTGAAACTATCAGATGGACATATATACTGCCGAAGGGCAAATCTAGTTTACAACCAGTGAGAGCTTCTATGCAAAATATAAAGACTCACTAGTATCCTATGTGGCCAAGCACACTTGAACGGCAGCAAGTGGCGCTCGCATTTTTGCTATTTTCGGACCAACTGAGTCTAGCGCTGATAAAAGAATTTGGGACTGCGGAGCAGAGAATGTACTTGTTTCTAGAGCTTAACAATAAGTACTTAATCCAACCCTTCTTTCGTCAGTACTTCGAAGGGGGACAGAAAGCGGGATCCTCGTTTGCTTCCGTTCACCTACCCCGAGGATATCCGACTTAAATGTACGAAAGACATTCTTAAGTGGCTCCAGGATGAACGGTACTGTGGATTGATCAGCACCATTCCGGAGCCTCAGCAGGCCGAATATATCCATATAGACGATGATGACGACGACGATTCAAATGCAGCGGAGGTAAGGATTTTTTTCTTGCCACTACAAATTGATACATTATACACGATAGGGCATTCATTTAAAATATATTTATATAATTGTTCATCTCTATCTTCGTTTATAAATCCAATAAAGATCAACGACTTCAATTCGATGATGGGGCGTCTACGCAATACAGAGGTGATGTATGATGATGAAACCGCTTTCTCGACAAGATACAGAAGCTAACTTGGGCAGCAATGCAAATGGTCTCGGAAACTCAACGAATGAGGCGGGAAACACAAGTAATATTAACGGGGAGAAGACGACACCTCTACCTGAGCCGAACACCACAACATCTGCACATCCCAAACGTAAGAAAGGTAGAAAAGTGTTACAAGGAGGACATACTCCGGAAGCTTATTTTACACATGCAGCTCACTGCATGCATTCGGTACTTACTGGTGGTGAAAGGCTTTGCTAATGTTCTAGCCGGCCGTCTAAACAATGACCCGATCGAGTTGTCGTTCTGCATTGCGCGCTCTAAGTCAGGTGGAAATAGGCACCTCGATATACCTGCGTATATGTTTTCACAAAGAACATTAATGATCATGGCCCACTACTCTGTGTGTGAGAATGGTGACAAAAGCCATAATCGAGAACTATTCAAATCCATGTTCTTTGGTCTCCTGGACAGAACAATTGTACACGAAGACGCTATTGTTAGATGCTTCTTATACAAGTGGAAACCTCTGATACATTACGGTAACAAACTTGTGTCTAAAACGTTGATAAACAGCGTACTGTCCTATATTGGCGGCTATGCCGCCTTTAAATGGAAAGAAAAAAGCAATGTGCAATGTGCTTCGTGTGTTAATCTAGTGACGACGAAGGGCTTGACGAAGATACTAAATGTTTTATCGAATACCGTGCCAAACTAATAGAAAAACTGAACAGAAAGGAATTAATCTGGCCTACCGTACAGGTGGTTGAGATGACAGGTCTCATCATAGATGTAGTGGATCAGATTGTAAGCACGAAACAACTAATGGACATGTTCAACGAGTGAATTTTTGTCGCGCTGGCCTAAGGGCTTTTAAAGAAATCATGCACACTCGAATAACAACCCTGTAAGGGCATCGCATAACAAGGCGTACACTGTCCAGTTTGCAGTCAGGATCGAGCACTAACAATATCACGTCCTGCACTAAATACTTTTTATAACTTGTGAAACATGACTCCCCGTAGCAGGTGAGCTGAGCTCGGTATTTTTTTGTCTGTATTTAATTTGATTCATTTGTCGTAATAAAGAAACCTGTCGCAAGCGACAGAAGAACCTGAAAGCGTTAAACGCACAATGAAGCAGTAATGTTCAGAATGGGAAAGTTTTGCAATTCCTGATCTGTACTCGTTTCTATGCTTTAAAATGTGAATGAGAAACGTTTAACCTAACATGGGTTTTAGCGTGACCAGATCTGTGACACATTAAAGTTGAGAAGTGACTTCTAGCTATACGCTTTCAGTGATAAGAATTTTTTAAATATAACGGTGTTGGTTCCATAGAGCCATTACGTATTAATGACGTTAGCAATATAATGACCATTTCCCTCGCTATGTAAAATATTTACATACTATAAATATTTAGCAGCAGAAACTAAAATGAGCTTAGAGGCTAGAGGTGTGTGTGCGAGTGTATGAGTGTTTAAGTGTGTGAGTGTGTACTCGTGTGAGTGTGTAGACGTGTGTTACCGTGCGTATATGTCTGTATGTGTGTATACAATAGTGTTATACTTAATGTATTTGTGTATGTGAGTCTGCTGTCATACATGCATTGTTTTATTGGTATGCATTTTTATTATTATATAAATAACTAAATACAATTCTATCTATTGTATACATTTATGTGTATTTTTATTTACATGTATATCTATTCATTGACATAAGAGTGTGTATATACATATAAATAAATTTCTACCGATGTTCCATTCATACAAGCATGCATGTATGCATTGCTCGATAGTGTGCGTTTTATGCATTTTATTTGTATCTATAGTATACATCTATCTATCTGTGTAAACGTGAGTATGTGCGTGTATGTGTGTATAAAGTTATGTGTGAATATTTTTATAGTTATATGTGTATATTCTGTGTGTGTTTTGTGAGTGAGTGTGTGTGTGTATTTGCGCGCGTGTGCAAGTGGAGT